AGTTAAAGAAAATTTGCGTTTAGGTCAGAGGTTTGGTATGTTGCAAACAATTAGACTTAAATAAGGTCGATACTAGATGTAGAATGCACTGAGAGTTCAGACAGAAATTCCACCTTACTGCATCACATGAAGCACATTCATTTTAAAACTGTTTTTTTATGCTTCTTTCCAGTGTACAGCAGTGTTTCCTAAAACGTAATACACACATAGTTTGAAGTCAGTAAGAGTTTTTGATGTTTTTGATAAAAGTGTCTAATGCTCAACAAGGCTGCATTTGGTAGATCAGAAATACAGTAATATTGTGAAATATAATTATAATTTAAAATAACTGTTTCTATTTTAATATAGTTCAAAATGTAATTTATTCCTGTGATGATAAATCTGAATTTGGATTCTTTTATGAACAATAGAACAGTATTTATTGGAAATAGATTTTTTAACAATATAAATGCCTTAACTGTCACTTTTGATCAGTTTAATGTGTCCTTGTTGTTTGAAAGTATTTCTTTAAAGAAAACAAACTCTTCTTCATTGATTAAAAAATAGCCACAAAATGATTATAACTTGCAGTTCAGTAAGTGAGTGAGATGTTGATTTAGTAACTTCTCTGTTTGATTCAGTTCAGTGAAAGATCTGTCAAACTGATCCAATCCAACTCCAAAAAGTTGTTTTTGAAAAGTTCTTTAAAATAATTGTCTCCTATGAGTCATTTGTTTGTGATCTTGATTTATGAAATAGAACCAGCTCATCAGTTAATGAATCAGAAAAGCATTGCAGGAAACAATGGTGTACAGTAGAATATGGTTTGATCTTATGGAATCATATAGGATACCAGTAAGAGTAATTTCAGATAATGTGATCTAAATGACTGTATTTGTCGATCCTTAAATAATTTCTCATTCAAGCAGCATTCATTCACCAGCCTTCATGCCATTCTATAGGCAACATTCACTCATATCTCCTGTGTGTCTATTATTAGTACAGTGTGAGTCTCACATGATACTGTAAGTCTGCTTGCCATAGACAAGTATTGACTCCCTACAATGAATCACTGTACCACAATTACTGAAACCATTTCTTCCACTGCAAACATAATACAAAGTTTGTGTAAAACCCAAAGAAATATTCCAGAAAAGGACTTTTCCGTGGACTCCAAGATGGTTTTCAATATGATAGGGTATATACAAATAACCTACTGTATATATTAAGCCAGAGCAGTTAGTCTCTTTGGTTCCTGTTGCTAAAAACAAAGCATGGAAAACAGCAAACCCGTTGTGAGGCTAACTATAGCAGTGGAATATAAAATTGAAGAACTAGTGGGATCCTGCATGACAAAGACGAAATATGAAGGGTCACCACGCTCTGACAGACGGGTTAAAGAAAGCAAGTAAGCAAGGGTAAAGGTGCAGTGTCTGTCAGAACTGTGACGGGATGTAATCCATCTTTATATCATCTTTTATCCCTCAAAGAAAAAAAAATAAGGAGGATAACAGAGGAGTGTGAGTGTGTGCACTCATTTATCTGGGAGCTTTTCTGACAGTTTCAAGACAGCATGAATTTTAAATAGAAGGCAAGTAGCGGTGAATGACAGCGGAACATTGCGCTCTAAATGAGAGTGAATCTAGAATGACATTTACAGGCGGTGAATCAGCCGCTTGAAACACATTACACAGTTGCTCATGTTTTCTTAATAAATCACCTCAGAAAAACACCATTGGAGGTCACATAAAGCAGCGTACTTGCTTTAAGTCGAAAATTCCCACAGTAGTCACCTGGACGGACAGGTGAGGTGTGTGACATGCCTCAAGGCATCTAAGAAATACCATTATGAGGAAGTATGTTCATGCTTCAGGGGAATAACTTCAGGTCAGAGCTCCTGGCAGAGGGCAAACTACAGAAAAAAACCTCTTCAGTCAAACATTTGAATAAAAATTAGGAAATTTTAACAAAGAATTTAATAGTAATTAAATGAACTTAGTAAAGTAATGAAATTACATAGAAATTAAGAAATAAAAATAAATAAATAATAAAAATGAATAATAGTTATTCTTATAAAAAAAATGCTATGAAGGCAAACGGTTGATTGGAATAATGGTCAAAATACAGTATACAGTTCATTGGTCATTACAGAACAAAATTTGGCTGCAAAATGGTGAGGATGGCCAATCAAAATGAAGTATTCTGGAGAGCTACAAAAGAGCTTTTAATATAGTTTATTTCAGCATGAAGATGTATGCCTAATGTTTTGGTTTGAACAACAGTGCAATAGTATTTTTTTTACTAAAACATGCAGGAAAAAAGCTTAAAGTGTGTACTTGCTCTTTAAGCTTGTCTACTTTGTTTCTCATTTGTAAATCGCTCTGAATCGGCATCTACTAGATGACTAAATGTAAATGTCTAGTCTTTGTCCCTCTGTCAGGAATCTGTCCTTAACGTGAAACTCACCCTATTAAGAAAGAACATCCTGATCTGTCTAGCATGCTAATTCAGAGCAAAGAGTTCATCAGGGAAAGCTGAGGCATGAATATTTCAGGAGCCGTTCACTGCACACATTTTGTGTGTTTGGTGCTGGTCCATATGTTCACTGTCTCTGTCTCACAGTCACACAGAAACACACAGGTGTTTCTATATATGATGTGATGAACACAGACAAGAAGTGAGGTCATTAACAGAGGAATTAGCAGAGGACATGGCTCAGACAGCTCTGAATAATGGGGGAGATCAGCATCTCAGAAAGAAGGAGAGGTGTTGATTGCTTTAGTTGAGCTGTGCTTAGATGGATCATAGCATGTGGGATTTCTGTTCATTCAGTATATCATCTATGAAAATGTATCCTCTGATTAAATGCACATTACAGACATTCATTTCAATTAGTTTTTTTCTTTTTTCTTTCCTTAGTAGTAACCATTTCTAATAACATATGAAATAGTTAAAAAACCTGAAAAAAAAGTTTACAGTTACATAAATATCAGCATAACTGTTTTCAACCATAATGATAATAAAAAATATTTATTGAGGAGCAAATCAGCTCATAGAATGATTTCTGAAGGAGCATGTGACACTGAAGACTGGAGTAATGACTGTTTTGCCATCACAGAAATAAATTCCATTTGAAAAAATATTCAAATAGAAAACATTCTTTTAATTTTACAACATTTAAAAATATTACTGCCCCGAAACTTTTGAACGGTAATGTATGTATAGAAAAAAAAAACATTTGAAAACCTTATCTCTTATACACAATGTGTGGTAACAACAATTCAAGTAGTTGATATAAAAGTACTGTGTTGATGTGTTGTACTTCGTGACAGAGAAATTTCATGCAAAGAGTTTCATTACGAGACTTTTTGCTTGTCATTAAACAACAAAGTGATGTTTTGATCCTCCTGTGTCTTCTGTTTTGAGACATTGTTGCACAACAGAGCACCAGTTTTGCTATCATCTCATCCTACAGCATCCTCTTTATCAAATCATACTTATGTTTTTGTAATCAAGTCCAGCATTGACTCATTTAAAGCACACACACATAGTTAACTCACTTTTGTTTTGCATTTACTCAACATTGAGCGTCCTGAAATCTTTTTCATTTTTGGAACGATTTTCAAAGGCAGCCTAATTACGAACACTAAGCGAGAGAACTCAGGGATGAAATAGCAGATCATTTAGCATGTGCTGCTGTAATTTGTAGAGATTCAAGCGTGTGGAGAGAGTTCTGATTTCCCAGCAGGCTTGGTGTAGGCTCCGTACTTGCTTCTGGAGTGGATATACTCAAGTCAGGTCGGGCTTTGGCTTGAACTAGCAGCCAAGGATAACACAGGGCAATGTTTCCGGTGGCTTCAGCAAATTCAGCCTTCCGCAAAAATGGGGAGTTATTAAATATCCAAACATGGCCATTGATCAAGGGTGGAAGATGGCTGAAACTTCAGCCCAGACTCAACACAGCACAAAGGAGGATGTAAATGTATTATAGATCATGGCACTTGCAGTGCATTTCTCCTCATCTGTAAGCTTGCAAACACATCCTCACATTGCATAACACAAACACAACCACTTCAGTGTTTGTGCAGATGGCAAAAAATCCTCAAAATCTACAGCTCTGAAGTTTTCATATAAGCATTAGTATCTTGTGCCATCTATGCAAACTCATTATGAAAACACTTCAAATGTAACTTCCTTCAAACCCAACTGGAGTTGTTGCGTATGCAACTGCAGGATTAAGAAACTTGCGACATTATTACGGTATCTGGGCACCTTTACAGGAATTATTTACATTAGCTACATACAAGTTTGCTTTATTTGCTGAAGATGCCAATTTTCAACTGTTAATAAAGTACTTTCTATAAGCATGCAGGTGCATAGTATATATAGTATATAATACAAAAGAATAGAATCTGGGCATACCACACAAATTGAGGACCTTATTGGAGTGCGTCATGCAGATATCTAAACATAGATGTAGTGGGAAAAAAATGGAAAAACTGACATTGAACAAAAAATAAATAAATAAAGAATAATAAAAAAAAATGTAACCTATGAAAAAGACAAAAAACCCCCGATCAGAATTAAACTATAAAACAGAATAAAAAAATATAGAAACTGAAAGATGCAGGTAGCACCCTAATCAATTATGTGAATTATGACAGCATTAAGCAAATGTACAGTAATGGAAAACTGCTTGGTTAAAGCAATCTTGTGATAAGAACAACTCTTGTGAGTATAGGTTTTGTCTGGCTATTAGTTAATGTGCAGTCATTCATAAGGGGATTGTGGTAGGAAGTGAATTAGGGAAACAGAAAGGGAATCTTAAAGCTTCCTCCTCATTTTAAAGAATAAGGATGTGGATTGACATGGTATCACTTTTTAGTTTTCATCCGCATAAGTGGGCCATTTTTTTAGAACTTACAATGTCATTTTGATCTTGACTGCAAGGAAATGCTACCAAGTATGAGAGAAATGTGAAAATGAAAGTTAAATGTGTCTGTCTCTGTTTTTCTTTCCAGTTTTCATCTGCAGTTTCATGATAGCCGCACCCATTTTTGGTTACCTGGGGGACCGATTCAACAGAAAGATCATTCTGAGCTGTGGAATCTTCTTCTGGTCCTTTGTGACGCTGCTAAGCTCCTTTATTACCAAAGATGTAAGTGTCATACTCTCTTTCTCCTCTACAAGCAGCAGCTTAAACCTTGCTCAGAACCTCTTAAAGGAATCATGTCAATGTGATTATCATTTTAGAAGAATCTTAAAATACAAATGTAGTTTGTTTTTGCTCAGAAAGCGCTAGGTTGGTTCTTGCCGTGCTAGTTGGGTATTTTTAGAAGCAGAACAGCAACCCAGCCCAGCAGTAGCATCTCTAAAGCTCATTCAGTTTCTGGCTCATTTGAGAGCACTTTGAAACTAGAGTCATTCAGCATCGCAGGACTCATTTTACATATAATGAAAAACTCAGTGTACTTTATTATTTAGATGTCTCTCGCTCTTGCTCTCTCTTCCGCACTTTGCTTTTTTCCTTTCCCTTTTACAAAGATGAAATGATTAAATGACATGCTCACTTAGCATAACACTAGGCCTGTCTCAGAAGACCTCTTGTTACAGCTCTACTGCTGTTCGTCATCCTCTTTGTCTGCTGTCTATATCTTATTCTCTGTTTTATCCAGGCCTCACTCACTCATGTCATTAAGAGTCACAAAAGCCGCTAAAATTACAAATCAAAACAGCATTTGTTGCCACTGGTAGTTAAGACTTGACAACAATCAAGTTGTTGAACCAAGCTACATCGTGAATATATCAATTAATCAGAAGTCAAACACACCACTTTCTATGCAAATTAGGCCGATAATAACAGATTGTGCCTTATTCACAAAAACCAAGGCCTAGTTGCCTGCTGTAGTTAACATTGCACTGTACGTAAATGTGATACACAATATATATATATATCTATGTGTGTGTGACCCTCGACCACAAAACCAGTCATAAGGGTCAATTTTTCGAAATTGAGATTTATACATCATATGAAAGCTGAATAAATAAGCTTTCCATTGATCTATGGTTTGTTAGGATAGGACAACATTTGGCCAAGATGCAACTATTTGAAAATCTGGAATCTGAGGGTGCAAACAAATCTAAATATTGAGAAAATCGCCTTTAAAGTTGTCCGAATGAAGTCCTTAGCAATGCATATTACTAATAATAATACATTTTTGATATATTTACGGTAGGAAATTTACAAAATATATTCATGGAACATGATCTTTACTTAATATCCTAATGATTTTTGGCATAAAAGAAAAATAATAATTTAATAACGATAATTTTGACCCATACAATGTATTTTTGGCTATTGCTAAAAACATACCCGTGCTACTTAAGACTTATATATATATATTGTTTTTTTATTATTATTATTATTATTTTTTGCTCATGCACACTTTGGCTATTAATCATTAATAAGTGCTTTACAAAGCAATTTTACAAATAAATTAATTATTATTTTGAATTATTAATTTTCCTGACATTATGTTAATCATTTATTTTGGCTTTAGTACTGCAAAGTGACAACATAAATACCAATAAATTACATTTTAAACAACATTTTGTCTTTATAATATCATAGTATAAATGGAACTTATATTTACTTTAGCCATCAGAACTATAGTTACAGATAATATAAAACGAACAGAAAATCTGTTTGACATACAGGCAGTATCTAAACTTCTTCTTTAAAATGTATGTGAACAGGTCAATAAACCTATGAGAGGAAGTGAGACAACAGTAAAGCCAAACTGAGTAAGGCAGGCCAAAAAAACATTAAGATTAAATTGATGCTTATTATCTAGAATCCCTTACAGACCATCTCAATCAAATCGTATGTGTGTGTGTGGGGCCGGTCTCCAGGGAGGTTATTGCTACAGAGATAGAGAGTGGCAGCTAATTAAAAGGCCACGTTAATGAGAGGAAGACTGCGAAATGAAAACGAAGGAATGTTCCTTGTGGCTATGATAACTGATTTTAGTGATATCTAGTGTGTATGTGTGTGCAGTTTGCTTCCCGTTAGCCTTTTTTGTTTTGTCAGTGAGCATGTGGAGACTGCATTTATATCTATAAAATGTGTGTGTGTGTGTGGTCAGAGTATGCCGGCCAAACGAAATTCATGATGTGCGTGTTTTGGGGTGAAAGAAGAAAAGGTTGTAAAAAACAAACAGTCAGTCATCCACTTTCCCTCTTCGCCATCCCTCTATTCTCTTATTCCCTCACAGCACTTCTGTCAATAAACAACTAGTACATAGCTTTTGTCATTTTTGAGCAGAGTCATTAAAAGGACCCAATTGTCATATTTACAATCCATTTTGCAACAATAAATAAACAGAGAATTGTGAGAGCTCTAAAAAAAACCTATTAGAATAAATGCCAATTTAGTTGCAGTGAAAAAACCCACAATGATGTTGAGCGATGAGAGAAACCGTTCTTATCTTATTCAGCTATTTACAATGATAGACATTTATTTGCAGCTAAATCAGTAATAAAATCACTCATTTCAAATAAACCTTGCAATATAACATTAATATCAGATGTGTAAACATTTAAAGGAAATATTGATTCCTAATAGCCAAACAAATCCATTTTCCACCTATGTTCAAGTGTCCATGCTTACCTCTAATCCCACCAGAGCTTGCAATAAACTAAATACACAGGGAGTCCAGGCGATTTAATTTTGCTTAAGCAATTTAATTGAAGGTGTGCAGATGTTCATTAGCGATGATTTTACAATAGCACTTTAGCATTGTTAGTCATATAATACAATCTGATATCCAACTTGGTCATTTTATTGCTATTTAACCAGCCATGGATGAGAACTGTAATGTAAATGAAGACATTTCGTGTCAGGTTAGGTGAACTGCAGCTGAAGGGAACAGCTTCTGACAGCCAGATAATCTCAGATACCATCTCAACTCAGTACAGGTCAGTTGTGGAGAATTGAGTTCAGCGTTTTGTGTGGTCACTGCCTCAGATGGGCCAAATAGACAATGATATTCAAAATCTGCTGCTGCTGTGAAAGACTTTAAGCTGACCTATTACAGTCACTTAACACGGGCATTTTCTTTTGCTCACTGAGCTGGAAAAAGACTAGAGAGAAAAGGGGAAAAATAAAAAGAGGAAATGTGATAAAAAATTCATGACTGTACGTGTGCAGCATTTTTAGCTGTATTACGTTCACATACAACATCTTGCAGTTTAATTGTTAGTCTGATGTGGAAGACAAACAACAACACGAAATGCTAGTGCACAAACTAGAGTTTTATACATGCATTCGAATAACACCCACTGAACTGAGGAAAAGAAATATCTGAACACAGCAGCTGTCACCAAAAGACCTGTTCTGAGGGCTAGTAATAGTATCGATGAGAGACTGAACGCAGTTAGAGGAAAGGACGAGATGGAAAAATAGGAGAGTTGAGGTATTTGCAAGCTAACTGGGTTCGGCCCTAACAAACGATCGACAGTACGAACAATAAGAGGTGAAAGACTAGAGCGCTACAGTGTGCCGCCTCACTTCCTGTCTAGCGCACTGTTTATCTGCAGTCAAGTTGTTACTGTTTCCAGGAAGTGACTTCAGCCATGAGAGAAATGTTTGGCAGGAAATTTGAGTCCTCTTATGGGCATGGAAAATATTTTAGTTACTAATAAACATGGAGATACAGAGTAATACTGACAACTTGTGTACAAAAATGTACAGACATATAAAAATGGTAGCACCACATCGCGCACGCCTGAAATTAATATCTAAAACCTCTCATCCAATCAAGAACATCAGTAAGGTCCCAAGTGGCCATTTTGATGAATAAACAATTAAGTTTAGATGGTTAATTAAATAAGTTTAATTAATGGGTTCTTGACATTGAATGAGGTCCAGTGGACACTCATGTTGAGAGCCATATGTATTAACTGATAAGATCCTATTGTCTGATAGGCCAGGTCAGACTGGTCCATCAGTGGGATATGCCAGGGGCAGTCAAAGATAAACAATGTGGTTTACCTGCTGAGCGACAGCCTGGCGCGAGTGTCTGGGAACACAGGAAGTGGGTACGAGGTTAAATGCTGGGAGGGGCGCTCCAAATTTAAACAGAAAGATTAAAACGCTGCAGTTATTCCATGGCCTGATGTGCAATAAAAAAAATTAACAACCTCCAAATACAAGAGACTACTGTTCCGAACCACTCTGTTCATATATAGTATTCCTTAATAAATGTAAAATACCATTTAAAAGGTGGGGTCAGTAATTTTTTAAAATGTTTTTCAAAGTATGTTCACGAAGGCTACATTTGATTAAAATACAAAAAACAGTATTATTGTAAAATATTATTACAAATAAAAATAACTGTTTTCTATTTTATATTGTTTTAACATTTAATTTATACCTGTGACGCAAAGCTGAATTTTCAGCAGCCATTACTCCAGTCTTCAGTGTCACAAGATCCTTGAGAAAACATTCTAATATCTGACCCCAAGCTTTTGAACAGTAGTGTATGTTATTAATCAATACTGTATGTGTCTTTCTCACACTATGACCATATTTACACCTGATCAGGTGAGGCATTTTAACCTGGTTGTAACTTGAGTTCACACAGCTTGAATGCTGCTGTCATTAAAACAAAGACTTGCAAATACTTCTAGTTTCTATGGCTTCCTCACACCTTCACTAGTGCACTAGTGACAACACTGTTATAAAACCTTAAAATAGCAAAAACTTTTCTTTTCACTTTCTTTTGCTTCAGCGTGAGAGGGTTGGTAACAGGTGTACAAACATGGAATGGAGAGTGAGAATGAGAATAACAATGAATCAGAATACTGTGGAACTGAAATAGAGAGCTGATGGAAAGAAAAACAGCGAGACACCCGATCAACTTTTTTTTAACAGACTATGACCAAGAGAAGAAAACAATTCATACAATGCCCGATGAATGGCGGCTTAGTCAAATAACATCCAGTGATAGTCTCAAACCAGATAATCTGCATACAGATAGCATACAGAAAGAATATTTCACATGTGCTTCATCCACACCGAAATCATAACACGGCAATTATGAACTTCATCAGACTGTAAACAGGATGTAGAGCTGAGAGAGTTTGGTCTATGTCTGAAGAGATATGACTCACAGATTCTTCAGATACCGACAGAGTTGAAATTATCCCACCTTGAGTGGCCGTCTTCCTCTTTTCCTTATATCACTCTGTCAGGCAGTCTTGCCTTTAGAAGGACTTAAAGGAAAGTTCATGAGACACATG